TTAAGGTAGCACGACTGCGCCAAACATGCGATGTACCACCCAACAGATTACGAAGAACATAAGTACAATTTAGATCCACGTTCAAACAATCTGTACACAGAAAACTAAATAGTGAATTTTCCAACAAACCATTTCCCAATCCGAATCCATACGGGCGAATCCAAAATTAAATGGGTGTTAGAAGTGCCTTCTGTGCCTACAGCATTAATTTGTTCTTGAAAACGTGGCAGGCAAAGCTTAACAGCACAAATTCAGTATTTAAAGCTGAACTGTTAGCCATTAGAGAAGCTGTGAAATTTTCCAGGAAGCAACAGGAAAAAAAGTGTTAGAATTTCCGACAGTGCCTCAAGCCTACAGGCAATAATCCGACTGAGCCGCTCGCCACTAGTAAGGGAAATTGAATGCTTACTATTCTATTTCCCAGAGAATACACGTCCCAAGCTTCACTGGACACCGCCCACATGGGCGACCAAATGGCAAGAGATACGGCAAACGGACAACTTGCCCCAGCCATCTCTCTGTCAATTTCTTTGTCACTTCTTAAATCAAGACTGGAACAGGATCTTATATCCCTGTGGCAAACTAACTGGACACAAGAGCTAACAGGCAGCAGGACATTTATTTTCCTCATGGTGCCCTCAAGGAACTTAACCACTGAATGCAGGGCAATGACATGTTTCCTGACTGCCCATGGCCGTTTTCCAGGCTGTTTTGCTTCGGATTTCACCACACAGGTTCATGCACATGCGGCTCAACTGGTACCCTCTATCTCTACATGTTAGAATGCCATACCAACAAATTCCTACATTTCCGGCCGTATACAGCTGAAAATGCCCAGGTATGGCTGAAACAACTCCAAAAGAGTAAGCTACTACAAAACAAGTTAAATTATATTACAAAAATTAATAATTTTACTGGCTTTAATGATCCCAACGCTTTAAGGTGTTTTGATTGGATTTAAGAAGAACCACTATATAAAAGAGTAGAGTGGCACTGAGAGACAAAAAAAAAACATTAATGAAAATGCCCCAGGAAGACAGTTACTTGATGATTTAATGGAAAAGGAAAACTCATGCAAACAATAATATCTCGTCACTTTCTTTTCACATATGTCATCCTCTTCCCTTCGTACAAGTACAGTGAAATTAAATTAAGTTTTCGACTAATTTATTTGTTTAATATTATAGTTATCATTCTTGCTGTATATTTAACAATTTTTATTGATTTTGTAATACAAACTTGTGCGCAAGGCACTGTTTTAAAGTTTAGATATTAAGCAATCAACTATGGAATAGGAACGGATTAATCCATTTTACATAAATTCCCTGTAATGAAATGTTCTCAAATTATAAATTCCTGTAATGAAAAGTAAAGTCGGTTTATAAAAATTTCGGGAGATAAATGGCCATCGAGAACGAATTACATCTGTGAATCAGGGTGTCGTTGTATACTTTTCAGATAGATTTCGTCGTATTAATTCGCTTTAAACAAAATTAAATCCTTTTTTAAACTTATATCCACTGTGCGTACTTAGAGTTTAAAATTTTAATACATTTAAAACACTCCGAAAGATTATGATCGTCATAAGAAATAAGATTATATAGTGCTAGACACGAAGTATTGATCTGCTATAAGGATTATGTACATTTTAAACAGAAAAATTGAAATGCATATATTCTGTTAAAAAAATAAAATAATCATTGGAGCTAATTACAATTTTAATGCGTTAATTATACTCTAAAGTAAATTTGACACGAAAGGTCAAATATAGAACTGCTACAAAATATAAAAGCAAGATTTAAATTATATTTCATAAAACATAAAATAGTGTTTTTTTTTATTTTGTACTCAAAACAGGACGGAAAAAAAAGACTTAAATAGGAATAATCATCTGGCTTCACGTATTCTTTCAATATGCAAGTGAAACCCGAGTTAAGTCTTTCGAATTATAAAATAGCCGAAAATATTATAACACGAAAACTTATCTGATGTAACTTAATCGATCAGATATCCCACTTCATCTGCCTTAAATATACACAGAAGACTTACCGTACGCATCAATAGCGCAAAATCACTTAATACAAAACTTTCTTTAAATTAAACTTATTTTATTGAACTGAACTGTCCTGAACGAATAAAATAAAACTGCAAGGCCTACAGTTACCATACAGAGCTGATACACCACTGCATTTAAAGAAAACGCTGAATTGCCGAAGTCTCATATTTTGATACTTTTACAAACATCCAATACCTTCCCCGCGATTCAAACCCGGGCCCTTTAGCAGCCAGCATTGCTGACCACTTTCCTGTCTGGGTGGCTACGGATTCAGTAGACAACATGACTTTCCTAACTTTTCCCTGGCCCACCAGCGGCCGAGCGGTAAAGTCGCTGAACACAGGTAGTTCGGTCAGAGGTTCGAATCCCGTGAACGGGCTGGCGGCATGGGCGTTTTCGAGGTTTTCCTCATGTGCAACGTGTATACGAGTCAGTTCCCTTAGAAAGTCTTCCACGAAGGCATCCCTCCCCTTAGGCAGATAGCCCTAGTGTGCTTTGCCGTATTTAAATAAACCAAACCTAACTTTTCCCCGTAATGATACCTCTCGCAATTTCGTACTGAGAGAGTTTGGTTTTATTAGATTTAGGCAAAACACTCCAGGGTTATCTGCCTTTAGGGAGGGATGCTTTCGTGGAGGACTTTTTGAGGGAAACTAGCTCGTATACACGTTACACATGGGGAAACCAATGAAAACACCCATGCAGCCAGCCCGGTCGTGGGATTCAAACCTCGGACTGAACTACCAGTGTTCAGCGACTTTACCGCTTGGCTGCTGGTGGGCCGTACTGAGAAGGAAAAACTTTAGTGTAGTTTTATCAATTTTCGAAAAAGGGACATATCGCCTACAGGGTGTTAAACTTAGCGTTTTAAGACTTCTATTTAAAAACCTTATTTATAAAATTGATAAGTTTTTCCAAATTCATCCATTCCTCTAATATTACCGTATGATAGCAAAAGCAGTAATATTTATTACATTAGTATTAGCATTACTGTTGGTGTATAATTGCATGCACGTGCAATTTTTATTTTAAGGAAATTTAAATAATACGTCACTTTTTTTAGTTAAAATAACACTCGAAATAACCATTATTTTAGGAGTTGAAACAAAACGAATCAGCGTAATATTCATAAATTCCCTTTCGTGTTTTGCACTTCCGCAACTGAAGAGATTCTGTATTTAAACCTTCGAAACTTCCAAATTTATGAATATTAGCGAAATGAATTAATTAATTAATGCATTATATATTAATTAAAGACTATTGTAAAATATTAATTAAAATGTTATATATAGTCATATGGACAAGAACGGATGGGGGCTTAAGAAAAAAATGCTTTAATCGAAGGAGCGGCGACCCAAAATATTGCAGCCAATCAGCTGAGTTGCAGCCAATCACCAATTTGTCTTTCTTCTATAAAGGCTTTATAATAGGTGGTAAAAAGTACAATGCATCCATATTTATTCAAAAGAGGCATGTTTTGATTGTATGGTTTCTATACGTGAATACGTATCGTATTGTGTAGAAAAGAACAAAATCAGCATCCAAAACTTAAAGTTTCTACCAACCACCCAAACACTTTTCCACAGTTTAAAAATCAAAAGCCGAATGGTCGTAAATCACAGATTACTTCTAAAATGAAAATAACCGAAAAGTGAATACATTTTATGTCATTTAGTGAATGACTCCACTGAATGTCAGATTTTTCTGCTGTTGTTTTGGTGGCACTTACGTCCTAAGTAGCTAATTTGCAGTAAATGTTGTTATTAATTACCACAGCATAAAAATAGAAACTAAAAGTTGCTACACTTTAGAGAGATTCAAAGAAACATATTATTTCTGCACCGTTTATCACAATTTTTCTAAATAAGAAAACAATAACGCTTGCTTTGTTTCGATACGATAAAAAGATATGAGAGTATCCTTAAAAACAGATTGAACCACTTAAACCATTTAAATTATTAGAAGCCATATTAAATCATTTAAATTATTGTAGTTTTACTTCCAATGAATTTAAGATTCGCAGCCTTGCTAACAGGGTTGATGGTAACAAGAAAAATCTGTGTGAAGGCAAAGTCTGAAAAGCAAAAATAAGAAAAAGCGGAACTCTTGTCACGAAAAAACATCTGATTTACATACTAATTTTATTTTATTTTGAACTCTACTTTTTTTACTCGTCTTCACCACTTCTAGATGACGTATACCTCACCTTGACTTCAAATCGAAATATATCCTGGAAAAAAAATGTCTCTTAATTTTGCAGCTTGTTAATGAAATTGCATCTTTTCTGCTCGCGGTAATTTTCCGCAACTTTTCATTTTTTAATTATGTCAATAGTTTGCATATTTAAAATCGGAAAAGATTGCGAGAAGGTTAAGCTCTAAAAGAGAATAGATTCTCGTCCCGCGGTCCCTTTATCTTCTTACCCCTTTTTTTTAATTTATTTCTTAAGTTATAATTAATAAATTCCTAAATTTCTCAGAGCAATAAAATTTGCCGAAACGTGAATTATATATCTATAAATATATATACATTTAAATTTTACATTTTTTCTGCTCAAAATGTGAACTAGAGGCATTTACAAGGCATGTTAATTAAATTAAAACCTAATTACTAATATAATTAATTATATATTTATAATGTAGGCCAAGTGATTAATAAGTCATTACACATAACGCCTGATAGCACTGTGAATACTGCCTGGTCAAGAACTTTGGTCACAAAATATATAGTCATAACACTGTGTGTAATAATATCATTGATTACCTTGCGCATAACATATATGCATCCTTTTTCATAGACATCAATGTAATATATTGGGCCCCCCCCTTTTTGATGGGAGCGTATGAAAATATCCTCCATTCGAAATCACTTTCAAAACACGTGCATCCACGGGAAGTCAGAATTCTCAAGAGTACGGCTGAAATGTTTAAAAAAATGTGTTTACCTGAAGTATGTAATTCCCTGCAGTGGTTCATTTTATCCCTTTCATCCAAAGCCAGGATGGCGTTCACTCCAAATTTCAGATCCGTTCTCTTGCTATTATCGTCCTCCCTTACAAAGGCCGGAGACAAAGGCACAGGTTTTGCCAGAGTCCGGGGGCTCAGTAGGTTGTCGACGTAGAAGTCTTTGCTGGGCCTGCCGCCGGACACAGGCAGGCTGGCCGCGTGCGAGATCACGCTAGGCCGACAGTAGAGCGGCTCCATGCTCTGCATCAGTTGTAAGGGTGTAAGTTCTACAGGCATCAGCTGTAATGATGAGATTGAAGGAGTTACGAGCACTTAAAGGAGCGGGAAATGCGACGATGAATTATACAAGGCATGAATGATTTTATAATACGCGCAAGGACTGATGGCTAAGTCTCCTCGTCGCTTCTTAACTCAGTTGTACGAATGCGTAACGTCGCAGTCTGTCATTGGCTGGTGGGCGACGAATCGGCGCTCGCTTCATCTTCGGCATCTTTTGGGGATGCTCTTCGGAAAATAGGAACGCGCGCACACCTCGTGGGAGGGGAGGAGGAGAGAAGAGCGCGGTCGAATGAATGAATAAATCATATACGCGGGACACTCGCAAATCCCAAAGCTCGGACGGAAATTTCTTACAAGGAAAATTCCGATAAATTCGTGAAGAAAAGTGCGTATTTCTTGGACACGTTCCTGAAAGCCAAGCGCACATAGTGACGTATTTTGAATTATTTAATAATCATAAAAATGCTAATAATTTAAGGAAAGCTATACCTAAATGTTGTAAACAGTTCTTTTCAAGGAAACGTTATCGTATTCTCATTTCTTTTAGTTAAATTTTAAAGTCGTTTGTAAAGCATAAATAATAAATATATAATATAATGCATAAAATTAAATACATCTTTCCGCATTTGTTATTTGTGCTTTTCATTAAATTCTTTCAATAAAAATTTTGATGTCATTTGAGTATTGAATATTAAAATATTGGTTATATCGGATATAAATTGTGTTTCATATTTCTATGATCCTAATATTCCGATTAAAGCCTTGATTTTATTGAAGTGGATGACAAAGCTGAGTAAAAGAACAAACAGAGGTCTCTTTCCTGTATTTTTGTTGTATACATACAGCATTTCACTGATGGATCGACATTACGTGATACACATACACATCGATGAAGAAGATTTCTTTCCAGAGAACTGTGCATACTGCAAGGTACAATTAAACAACTCAGTTACGTGAATTATTGCGATTCCGAGTCAGATGTATCAGAATAGAAAATAACTAGCCAATAAACATTTGCGCCTTCCTCAGGGCTGGAAAAAAAATCTTTGTACCCTTTTTTACAGGTGTCAGTCAGTATAGACCTCGTACAGCCGCCATTGAGAACAATAACGCAATCATGGATGGAATTTGGAGAAAAGAAGTGTATGAGAGTAGTTGTAAAGATTGATTTGGTTCATTTGATTAGGGCAAAGTATACGAAGGCTATCTGCCTAAGGGGAGGGATACCTTCAAGGAAGATTTTCTAAGGGAAATTGGTCCGTATTTACATTACACATGGGGAAAACCAGGAAAACGCCCATGCAGCCAGTCCGTTCGCCTGGAATCGAACCTATGTCGGTCGAACTGCAAGTGTTAAGTGACTTTATCGTTCGGTCTCTGGTGAGTAGTCGTAAATAATCTCAGGCACCTTGATAAAAGCCAAAAAGGACTAATAGCCAAATTCGATGTCCAACACTAGAAGCTGAACCATCTATAACTGCCAAGAAAGTCTACACGGAGTTTAGGATATCAAAATATCGACATGGACTGTTACTCTTAGAACCAAGTTTTCAGTCTCGTTATCCTTTTCAAATACTTAATCCCGTTTAGTCGTCCTGAAAGATTACAAGAGTATATTTTAAAAAGTTTTTAAGTAACTCAAAGGTGCCAGAGACTTGTGGGAGGTCATCAGGAAAGATGAACAAAAATAAATATGTAAAAATATAATTAATTAATAACAAAAACTAAATAAGATGTATAGTTAAAAAGTTAATAAATCAAGCTAATTCAGTAACAAACAGTGCAGTAATAAATTACAGCTCATTTTATTTGCAATTCCGACCGGAAATCCGATTTCATTCAGTCTGAAAAATATTGGATTCAAGCTCCAGTGGTCTGCCGCTAAAATTAAGTCCTGTTCTTTCCAAAACAACAGATTTAGCAATGACCTTATTCTCGATTCTAGATTATCTACTGAAAGTCTGCAGATGATGTGACCAGTAAGCAGATCCTGGTGATTTTAACGAGAATCACATAGCTCCTCGGAGGAAGAATCATGATTTTGAGTACCATAACTATCAGTATCAATAATTCTAGATCGAGTTTACGCCAGGTAGAAGTAAAAGGGGGTGTCGCGTAATTACTCTACTTTTGGTAGCCACAAAGCAAATCTGGCAACAACAGTAAATAATTTTCTCGATGTGACTGGCATCACCGTTTACGTTCAGAATCAATTTGGTTTTTAAAGGATAAGTCTGTAATAAAATTCTGAGAAGAAAGTAGATTAGTAATCTATCTGTTCTCAACACTGTGGTGATGTACGGAAGGGATGCTTAAAGATAAAGGTCAGTGAATTTGTTAATACTAATACTAATAATTGATTTAAAATTTTATTAATATGGAAAATATTATTAAAAGAAGAATACCTATTAGAGCAACGTTCACGAAGCGTTACAATTGAGTTAATAGAATCTTTAACTGAAGCGCATTTAAAACGTGAGGAAATTGAAATTAAATTTTCTTCTTTACAGCGAATCCCTACAGATTCGGCTGAACTGCGTGAAGAAATTTGTATTGCTTTAACAGACGGAAAATCTGAAGATTCTGATGTGAATACGAGAAAATTGAAGAATATCGAAGAAAAATAGATGTAGCTCGCATTCATACTAAAGCATGTCTTGATAAACTTTCAAATATATGTTAACCGTTGGTGACGAATACAGGTGAAAAACAAAATTAAAACTGTAAAATAGAATTAAATAATTTGTAAAATAGAATTGTTTAAATTTAGCGGGTGAAAGACTGGTTTACGTTTTGGAGTCAGTTCAGTAGAATTTATCATGATGAGTCAATTGGTTATGAAGATAAATTTCAGTATCTCATCTGTGTATGACAGTTGGCAGTACAGCCCGAAGAAATTGTAGATAGCTATCCCCAAACTGCTGATAACTATGAGAACGCCATCGATAACATAAAAACAAGGTTTAGCCGCGAAGGGCTAATTTTTTTAATATTATGTCGGGGAGCTACTATCATTGGTAGTAAAAAATGCTATGAACGTGAAAAAAAAGATGAACATCATGCAGCTATATGATAGATTGGAGTCACATTTGAGGTCTTTAGAGTCGATTGTCGTAAATACTGACAAGTATTATTGCCATGTTTTTCCCATCGGTGGAATCGTGCATTCCTGAAAATTTATTAACGGTTTGGTTACGTAATTCAGTAATCAATAAAGAAGATGTAGATATATTAGGTATTCTTTTAAGCAGGAGATGTGAAAAATAAACGCTTCCCTTCCCGGGACTCGAACCTGGAACTTTCGAATACGCGCCGAGAGTGCTAACCGTTACACCACGAAGGTATTCTAGAATGAGAGGGAGACTACCTTATCTACTGCCCTTTTTAAAGGGCGACTGGAGATTAGGGGACCCAGTAGCCAAATCCTGGTGGTGAAGAATCATCATCACCATCTTTTTAGTTCGGGCGGCACTGTAGAGACATTAGGTATTTTTGAAGCAGGAGTACATGATAAATTTTCAATGCCTTCGCCGGGACTCGAACATGGACCTCTCGAAAATACGCTGAGTGTGCTAACCGTTACACCACGAAGGTATGCTAGAAGAAGGGAGACGGTAAACCATCGAATTTCTTTATCCAAAGCTGGTTTTAAATCAAATGAAATTTCAAATAAAAATCAAGAGTACACAAAAGACGAAATTTTTGTTACGATGACTAAAGATCCAGTGTCAGGTTCTAAAGTTATGAAACGTGCTTGTGTATTTTATGGAAAATCACATTATTCTCAATACTCTTTTAAAGGCTAAAAAAATGTATTTTGACGGAAAAAAGGATAGTTTAGAGATAAACAAAGCCTGTTTTGCAAGTTTGGAAATCGGGCATTGTTCGAAAAAGGATAAGGCTAATATTCGATGCATAATTTGTAGATCCCAATGTTATGATAACGCTGCCGTAATGTTAGGTCACTGGCGTTCAAAAAGGAAATATGAAAAAAAATAAGGAAGTATTACTTGTAAACTGTGATAACCACTCACTAAATTTAGTAAGAGTTAGAGCAGCTAAGCAAGATCCAGTTGTTGTAACATGTTTTGGAATAACTGGAAACATGCGACATGCGACGGAGGACGTGGGCACCACCCCTCCACCATAGGTTAATTGGTGCAGCACCACGTCCACCTTTATCTAAAACAACCCCTGAAGCCACACAAGGGCCCCACACCTGGCGCCCAAACCCAACGCCTAATTCACCCCGGTGGCGGTCCTACTGACCAAAACTGCCCCCGGGAGTTCATTCCATTCTACCGCCCGGGCCCAGTATTTATTAAATCATAGAATTAATATAAAGATGGCCTTACAAGGGCTACTCATATGATTACATGCATTTTCTGGTTTTACATACAGATTTTGCTTTCTGGCACATTATATTACTTTCTAGTACATTATAATTCTGTTTGCTACATGTTATTCGATTATTACATATGATTGTCTGAATTACTGATACATATAGTACAGTCATAGGGATTCTGTTATTAGTTTCGGTTCATTGGTAGTAGTTCATGTGTTATAAGCTTGAGACATTCATAGTGTCGTCCATCTCGGGTTCCTGCTAAACTTATTTGTTGCAGTTTATATTCACATCCCTTATTTGCTGCAGTTTTATATTCATATCCTGTTGTGAACGTTTGCTTTTGCACCTGTAATAGCGCTTGCTATCAATAGAAATTTACACCATTACATATTTACACCATTACATAACTTTCTTTCCACATTGAGGCAACACTTGTAATGTTGCTTGCTAGACTGAGGAGGCTTAATTACATATTTGCACTATTTATGCTGAAATCAATTTGCGACGCACTCAATTAATACTTTTGCATCAATCATATTTACATATTTACATACGCGGAGCATATTACATATTACAAGCGATGCTTATGAAATCAACTGGAAACATGTAAGAATTATGTTAATTTTCCTAAAAGTTAAATTTTCAGTTCCTGAATTTCAACCTACAACTTCCGGCCAGAACGTAGTTTTAGAAACGCGTTTGGATGCAAATTGAGGAGAAGTATTTAACCGCGAAGCTCT